CTGTTTTTAATTTATACTCTCATAAGTTTAAATTTTTACTATAATCAGTTACATATACAATTGTCCTATGTAATATGCTATAAAAATATTTTAAAGAGGAAGTTAAGTAACTAGCATGAGGTGACAAGCTGAAAGTTTATGTATGTTGGATTTCAACCTGGGCCTAATCCTAGATTCACCATGCTTATTCTATCCTGGGGTTCAAAAACTTTCTTCTTGCGTATAATTATCAAAAATGGATATTCAACAGGTACTCTGCCAATCATTATATAGATTACATATTTTATCTTAACAATTTTTAGTAACATTGAGTTTTCCATCTCTTGCTACCACCATGTAACTAATTTAAATGTTTGATGGTCATGTCCACTACATTACATTTAATAATGCAAAACAGCAAAAGCCCTTTTTGGCACTAGGTAAACTGACTAGCATGGTGTGCGATGGTAACAATACTGGTCACATCTACCTTCTACATTTAAGATTCTAAAGAACCTCCCATTGAATATTTAGTCCTGTTGGCATGTGATGTTGACATAAATATTTCTCAACAGCACTTTTCGCAGGGCAGTTCTTCTGTATGCAGGCACAAATTTAATATCATTGACATCTACCCACTAAATGCTGGTAGTTTTTCTACACTCCTACCTATCAAGTGAATATAACATCCAAAATCACTCCCCTGATTAAGAACCACTGTAAGATGTCATATTTTTTAAGGTACAAGTGATAGTGCCTCAGTTATTCCAGAATGCTGGCAGCATTAGGGGATCACTAGTCTGTTGTCTGCCTCAACAGACAGATTCCCATGATAACAGTGTCTTATCCAAAAATTTCTCAAGGGGCCACGGGGTGGAGAGGTGGTTAGTATTCTGCTCCTGATTTCTTCAAGACTATATAGCAATTTTACCTATTACAGAAAAAGTATAACACTTAGTATAATATCACTCTTGCAAATGCTATTGCTGCTGCAGGCAAACTCAATTTCATTCTAAATACTCTAAAAAAGCTTCTCGCTTAAAAACAAAACAAAACAACAACAACAACAACAACAACAAAAAACCTCTGAATTCTGGCATAGGAAGAGAATAAAAGAATCTAAAGGACCACTTGTTTTCTTCCCACTTTTACTCCCATCCACATCTAATTGTCAGAGAAACTAATAAAAATATTTTTTAAAACTCTTTCAATAATTTGATACGAAAAAGTAATCAAAGTTTTAAATAAATTATAGACTACTTCAATTTTTGACTCTATTACCACTAACCTAAACATACTATGAGTTGAGAAATGAAATCTTCTCTAGACTTTTAAGTTGCTCTCTGGTCTTAAAATTCCAACCATTTCAAAACTTCCAAAATCATAGTAAAATCAATCACACCCAGGATTCTGAATGTTTTCCTAATAAAGGCTGTTGACAATCAGTTTAAGTAGTCAAGAAGTTGAAGACTGTATATCATAAAGATCCTAAACATGATTTTTTAACAGCTCCTGCTTAATAACCAGTAGATTACACACCCACCAATTGGAATAAATTGTGAGGAACTGCCAAAGTAGCACAGATTCACAGGCTACAGAAAGGGTTAAAAATAAAAGGAGTATTTGTACCTTCAGAGACTCCTTCCAGATGTTACACTTTACACTGAAGGGCTATTGAGAGAAACAATGAGGCCTCCATGAAAACATGTTACATTAGTTTCCTTTTTAAAATAAAAATTCCCTTTCCTTAAAATGATTAAGTGGACATCCTACTAAACAGATTCTTATACAAGATTAAATGTAACAAGACTACTCCCATAAGAAGGACAATCTATTAGTCGAACCATCAATAATGACTTTCATGTGGCAACCTCTACCAAGTTACCCAAGACAGTGGATAAAATCCACTTTCTGGAGCACTGAGACTCAACAAAGTCTTTGAAAGTAAGATCTCTTTTAGACTGCAGAGATGTTCATAGGCTGCCTTAACAACAGCAATTTTAATTTGTATCTGTTAAGGAATTTGTCAATGACATATTTACAAGAAAAATAATTTTCCAAAGTACAGAAAGAACTTGAAAGTAAATCAGGGCATTAATAATTGAAGTGAAAACTCAAATACCAAAAGATTCAAAATAGGTCACTGTTTTAAAGTAATTATTTTCAAACTTTAATGTGCAAAACAAACCTCTTAGGAATCTTCGTAAAGCTCATGCTAATTAAGCAGCTCTAGGTTAAGGAATGATGAGATGCTGTGATTTCAATCTGATCCCAGGCAATGCCTAGTCTGCTGTTTCATGGATCACATTTTGAGTAGCAACAGACTCTAAGCCTTGACTAAGGCTAAAACATGACAGAAATGTTAAGATTCTCAGAAAAGAAATAATTCTTTGGTGATATTTTTCCAAGTTTGTTTTTCTTTTGGTTTTATTATTTATTAGAACAATTTTCATGAGTAAATATTGAGTGGTTTCAGCTTGTAGGCTGACTTTTTCACTAATTCAAATTAAGAAAAACTTATCCAAATCATAAACCAGAGAACAGGAGAAAGTTGAACAAAATAAAGGCATTAACAATGTTTCTCATTCTAAGATGGAAAATTTGCTGAATGAATTAGGTTCTACACATTTATACCCGAAGACAACAAATATTCTGTTAGGAGACCCATAAACGGTGAATTACTTAATGTTAATAAACCAGTCTGTTGTGAGTCCTTTGTCTTTAGAGAAAATATTTTCTTTGCTTTTCCTTTTGCCTTTTTGTTTTGTGTCACTGCTATGTAACTACTGACACTTTGAAAAATTGCTGCTCACAACATAAACTTGGAACAAGAACAAACTACACTCTGCAAAAGCTGATTAAAATTGCTGAAAAAAAATAAACTGTAGCATCAGGCATATAATTATCTCTATATCGTTTTTAAGCAATCAATTCTCAACTAACTACTCATTTTAAATGCAGGTTCGTTCACTCAGCCAGCATTTATTGACCACCTACTATGTGTCAGGCACTTTGCTAAATGTTAGGGATAAAGTTTGGATCAGGGACTCAGCTCTTTCAGATCCTGGCTTGGACATAATGGCAAATCGTGGTATTGCTTTTTTTTCTTTTTGTCTCTAAGCCTCCATTTTCTCAAGGTGATAGTGATAGATTATATAATGTAAATAAGTGCCTAACATTCCAATCTGTATATGATAATGAAGAATGCTATTTGAAGTATGAAGTTAGAGTCAGAAGTAGATTCTACCTGCAATAGGCCAGCTTTCTACTGCATAGCTCTATGTTGGCAGATTATGAAGCAACTTGAAAGTGACGTAAAGAAAACATGACTGAACAGATAAATCCACTACCAAAACAAAAAAACTAAGACTGCCTACAACAGATAATAAATTCCAGAACTGAAAAGAAATGCGCTTTGGGTTAGTTTATGAGTTTGTGTAACATGTACACTAATGTTCTCTTCCACTAAACAAAATAAAAGTACACTATAAATAAATAGAACAAATGTTCCAGCTATGTGGTTTTATGCACAAGAGGATCATGATAGGGTATACAACTTGGGACAATCTTAGTGAAGTAGTAATTACTTGATGCAACAGGATGTGTACACCATTAACCACAATTCTCTTTCTACCACCTTTAGAAAGTTATCTCCTTTTCTTATAAGGTAAATATTTACAAATCTACTCATAACAATTAACCAATAAAGCAGCCTATTTTGAAAACCTAACTGGTAACAGTGATCTCACAAAAAGAAGCAGTACAGCTAAAGTTAAGAGCTTTGGTGTCAATCAGGCCAGGTGTCCCAATTTCACTTCTATTCTTTCTAACTAGTTGTGAGACTTGAGGAACGTCTCTTAACCATTCCACACTTCAGTTTACCTGAAGAATGGCAATACCAGAGCCTACTTCCTGTATTTATGAAAGTGGAATATGCTATTACAAGTAAAGCACTTAGATAACTTCTTAAAAACAGCAGCCACTCAATAAATGCTAGCAATTTGCTATTACCGACAATGAAAAAACTAAAGGCCTTTAGTTTTTAAGCTAAAAAAAGATGTATAAGACTTAGGTTCTTTTTAAAAATATTTTATTTTTGTAGAGACAGGGTCTCGCTATGTTGCCCAGGCTGGTCTTGAACTCCTGACCTCATGTGATCTTCCTGCCTCGCCCTCCTAAAGTGCTGGGATTACAGTCGTGAGCCATCATACCCGGCAAGTTTTAGGGTCTTATAAAGCTTTAAGTTAGTTCACAGTTAAGTGATCAAAATGGTGAGGAACAGGGTAAGGCAGTAACGTGTATTAAGCACCCAACATCTTATCCTCCTATCCTACTTAATCAGCCTTCACTTGTAACGTCCTAAAGTTAAGCTGCATTGGCGTACTACAGACAATTCTATTCTGGAAAGGTTTAAAGGCAAAAAAAGACTGCTAAAACAAAAATAAAATAAAATAAAAATAAGAGAAAGAGAGGTTATGTAGACTTGAACTACACTTAAGTGGTGGGTAACCCAGAGGAACAGTAAAGGCACCAACTATCCCAGACACGGGGGTATGGGTCTGGACTCACGGCGGCTCCTCCCAGTGAGGAGGCCGAGGCCATTGGGCCTCACCAGTGAGTCCCAGCGCGACACCCCAAACCCGAAGCCAGGGCACCACTGAGGGGTGAGCCTCAGCGCCTCCACTGCCCGCCCCGGGGGTCCAAACTTCCAGCCGGTGCACCAAGCCGGCCCGAGCGCCCAAGCCGCTTCCACACGGAGGCCTGAATCACCGTCCGCACTGGACAGAAGCCGGGGCCCAGAGGTTACCTTCAGCAGGGAACTCTTCAAACTCGTCGTCTTCCTCTAAGAGACCTAAGTCTACCGGCTGCTTTTTCTCTGACATCGCGACCCTCCGCGCCCAATACCTCCCAGATCAGCAGGAAAGTTGAAATCCTCACGCTTCCTCAAGGAAATGCCACCGTCGCTACCGCCTCAGAGGCTGACGCTACCATAGAGACTCGGGGAAAGAACTACGGGAGTCGCGCGAAGAATGCTGGGATACTGGAGGTCGGCCCAGCGCTTCCTGCGGGTTTAGCGCTTTTTCCGAGTTACAGAGGTAATTTTTTTTGTCTCTACTATGTTATTCCGACTCTCTGAATTGCCAAAGTTGAGATTCGTGTAGTTTTCCTGACTATAAAAGACTCATAATGTGTAAAACAAACAAACAAAAAACCTTGACTTAGTTTGCAACCGAGGAAGGAACTCCAGAGGGACTAGAGAGTGTGGTTGCTAACATTCATCAGCCCTTCACATACATTATTACCCCTAGCCCTTAAACCCGTTCCCTAAGCGTGGTATTAAATGTCTCCACATCGCAGAAAGTTCAATTTCAGAAAGAAGCAGCCGAAGTCACTCAGGTAGTGCTAGACAACCGAAATGCAGATATTTTTGCCTGGCTCCGATCTCCAGACTTTTCCATCAGGCAGTGTATATAAGGTCTTAGAATTACTTTGTGGTAAATAGCTTGTTAAGTAGAATTTGTGGGGCGGGCGTGTGTGTGTGTGTGTGTGTGTGTGTGTGTGCAGTAACTCTAGTTTACAGGTTATTATACAATAATGCTATTTAAAAATGGATTTGTGTAACATTTCATGGTGTTTATGTCATTTAGAATTGTTTGAATAGCGTTTGAACATCATTTTGAAAACAGTAGTGAACTGCATGGAACTCTATATATAATATGGAGATGTATATGGATGAATATTGTGTAATATACATACACAAATTGAGTGTTATTATAAATTTGATACATGTTCCAGATTATTTCTATAAATTCCATTCCCTTATTCAACAACTTTAGGTCATACTGCCTACCAGGAGCTGTACATCAAACATGTATAGACAAGGTGCCTTTCCTCAAGGAGCTCATAGTCTACTCAGAGACGTGTAAACAGGTAAATCACAATGAAACACAGTAATCCAGTTGAATCTCCATCTTAATATTATGTGAGAAATAAACAGAGTGGGAATACAGAAAATGGAATAATTAAATGTAGAACAAACTTGGACAAGAACTACAATTAGTGTAATTTTTAAAAAATGTATTTTTATTATACTATTTTGATTTGTATAGATTACCTAATCAGCCTTCACTTGTAACGTCCTAAAGTTAAGCAGCATTGGCATAACTACATACAATTCTATTCTGGAAAGGTTTAAAGGCAAAAAAAGACTGCTAAAACAAAAATAAAATAAAATAAAAATAAGAGAAAGGGAGGTTATGTAGACTTGAACTACATTTAAATGGTGGGTAACCCAGAGGAACATAGTAGTATCTCATGAAAATAGTAGTATCTCACTACCGCAAAAAATTATGCCAGGTAATGCATATCTTAATCAGTGTGACTTAGTCATTATACAATGTATATGTATTTTAAAATACGCTGTGCTCCGTAAATATATGCAATTTTTATTTGTCAATTAAACTAACTTTTTAAAGAATGTAAAAAAAAAGTTTTTTGCCAAGGAGTCAGAAAACCCAAATTCTAGTTCCTGGACCTATTATTTAGTTCATTTGATATATGATGAAGTTTGTATCAATCCTTAGCAAAAGAAAAAGATCAACAGCAATATTTGGTGATTTTTTTTACCCCTAAAACTGTGTTTATTCAATTTAAAAAGAGGTTGTTGATTTAAAAATCACCAATCTTATGTCAAGTTCCACCACCCCTGCCCTTTCTTCCATTTTACTTGTTCATGAAACCCGGAATGCTGAAACTTAAATAACTTCTCATTTCAGATGAGGTGGGGCATGTTCAGGGTGGTATGGTCATAGACAATAACTTCTCATTTTAAATGTCATGGCACATAGCACAATGAGCAACTTCACGTTTCAATGGTCATGGCACATGGAATAATTTTGGAAAATAATACTATAAATATATATTTGCAGATCAGTTTGTATTGTAAATCCAGGCTCAATTTCTTCTAAAGGGGAGTTTGGAGAAATTACTTAATTTCTCTGTAGTACATTTTAGTTATTTGCAGTTACAGTTAAGATTAAATGAGATTATGTGTATAATGTGCATAGTCCAATGCTTGGCACATAATTGGCATATAATAAGTGATCAATACAGGTTAGCTATTATTAAGTAAGGAACTTATATTTTAAAATATCTGTGCTTCTCCTTGTCAACCCCTAAAAGTCTCTTAAGTGTGTGTTGTGTTTCTTGATCTCTTTTTAACACTTTATGAGGAAGTCAGTCCCTCTCCAATTATAATGATAATTCATAATAATGTATATTTAATGTTTACTTTGTATTAGGCACTGGACTAAACCCATTTTGTATATTTACTTGTTTAATCTTCCTCACAACAGCCCTATTGATATGGTTTGGCTGTGTCCCCACCTAAATCTCACCCTGAATTATAGCTCCCCTAATTCCCACATGTTGTGGGAGGAACTTGGTGGGTGGTAATTGAATCATGGGGGTGGGTCTTTCCCATGCTGTTCTGGTGATAGTGAATAAGTCTCACAAGATCTGTTGGTTTTATAAAGGAGAGTTCCCTTATACAAGCACTCTTGCTTGCCACCATCTAAGACATGACTTTGCTCTTCTTCATTCACTTTCAGTCATAATTGTGAGGCCTCCCTGGCCATACGGAACTGAGTCAATTAAACCTCTTTCCTATATAAATTTCCCAGTCTTAGGCAGGTCTTTATTAACAGTGTGAGAACAAACTAATATAGTCCAGTTGGTTACAGGGTAGTAGGGCACTGCTGTAAAGATACCTGAAAATGTGGAAGCGACTTTGGAGCTGGGTAACAGGTAGAGGTTGGAACAGTTTGAAGGGCTCAGAAGAAGACAGAAAAATGTAGGAAAGTTTGGAACTTCGGAGAGACTTGGAGGGTTCAGAAGACAGGAAGATGTGAAAGTTCAGAACTTCCTAGAGACTTGTTGAATGGCATTGACCAAAATGCTGATAGTGATATGAACAATAAAGTCCAGGCTGATGTGGTCTCAGATGGAGATGAGGAACTTGTTGGAAACTGGAGTAAAAGTCTCTCTTCCTATGCAAAGAGACTGCTGGTATTTTGCCCCTGCCCTAGAGAACTGTGGTACTTTGAACTTGAGAGACATGATTTAGGGTTATCTGGTAGAAGAAATTTTTAAGCAGCAAAGCATTCAAGAGGTGACAGAGCATAAAAGTTTGGAAAATTTGTAGCCTGATGATGCAGTAGAAAAGAAAAACCCATTTTCTGGGGAGAAATTCAAGCTGGCTGCAGAAATGTGCATAAGAGGAGCCAAATGTTAATTGCCAAAACCAGCAAAATGTCTTCAGGACATGTCAGAAACCTTCATGGCAGCCACACCCATCACAGACCTAGAGACCTAGGAGGGAAAAATGGTTTCATGTGCTGGGCCCAGAGCCTCCCTGTTGAATGCAGACTCCATGGCTAAAAGGGGCCAAGATATAGCTTAGGCCATGGCTTCAGAAGGTGCAAGCCCCAAGCCTGGGCAGCTTCCATATGGTATTGGGCCTGCAGATGCACAAAAGTCAAGAATTGAGGTTTGGGAACCTCCATCTAGATTTCAGAGGATGTATGAAAATGCCTGGATTTCCAGGCAGAAGGAGTGTGGCCTTCATAGAGAACATCTGCTAGAACAGTACAGAAGGGAAATGTGTGGTTGGAGCCCCCACACAGAGTTGCTACTGGGGTACCATCAAGTGGAGCTGTGAGAAGAGGACCACCTTCTTCCAGAGCCCAGAATGGTAGACCCACTGACAGCTTGTACCATGAGCCTGGAAAAGCCGCAGACACTTGATACCACCCTGTGAAAGCAGCCAGGAGGGAGGCTGTACCCTGCAAAGCTACAGGGATGGAACTGGCCAAGACCACTGGAACTCACCTCTTTCATTAGAATGACCTGAATGTGAGACATGGAGTCAAAGGAGATCATTTTGTAGCTTTAAGATTTGACTGTCCTGCAGGATTTTGAACTTGCATGGGGCCAGTAGCTGCTTCATTTTGGCCAATTTCTCCCATTTGGAATGGGTGTATTTACCCAATGCCTGTACCTCCACTGTAGCTAGGAAGTAACTAACTTGCTTTTGATTTTACAGGCTTGTAGGTGGAGGGAACTTACCTTTTCTCAGATGAGACTTTGGACAGTGGACTTTTGAATTAATGCTGAAATGAGTTAAGACTTTGGGGGACTGTTGGGAGGCATGACTGGTTTTGAAATGGGAGGACATGAGATTTGAGAAGGGCCAGGGATAGAATGGTATGGTTTGACTGTTTCCCTACCCAAATCTCATCTTGAATTGTAGCTTCCATAATTCCCATATGTTGTGGGAGGGACCCAGTGGGAGGTAATTAAGTCATGGTGGCAGGTCTTTCCTGTGCTGTTCTCATAATAGTGACTACGTCTCACAAGATCTGATGGTTGTATAAAGGGGAGTTCCCCTGCACCTGCTCTTTTGCCTGCCACCATTTAAGACATGACTTTCCTCTATATTTGCCTTCAGCCATTATTATGAGGCTTCCCCAGCTGTGTGGCACTGTGAATCAATTAAACCTCCTTCCTAAATTAGTCTCAGGTATGTCTTTATTAGCAACATGAGAACACTAATACACCTATTGCATACAATTTAAATCCACTTTATACTTGAGGAACTGAGACTGAGAGAGGTTGGTAATGTGGCCAAGATCATAGTGCTAAGATATGGTGGAGCTATTATTTAAGGACTTTCTTAAAGGATAGGAAACAAACCATCCCAGTGTGCAGAGAGGCTGACAGTTAAACCCCAGAATTATTTTTTTCTTATGCATAAATGTAGGCAGAAGTGCAAAAGGCAAAGAGGTAGAATGAAAAAGAAAATCAAACTCTAGGATTAACTCTCAATGACTAAGAAACTCTCAACAATCTTAAGAGAAGCATTTGTAGTCAAAACTATGCCTTCACTTACATATTATATCTGTAATTGATTGAATAGTTAGGTAGGAAATCGTTATAGGTAGGAAAACAAGTTAGCAGTGTATTTTGTAGTAGACGATTCTGTTTGTCTCAAGTAAATTTTTTTTTAAGCAGTGTCTCACTCTTGCACAGGCTGGAG